TATCTCTTAATCATCTTTAAAATATATAAGATCACAATTCTATTTTTGCTAAGGTTTATTAATATTCTATATCTCAATTTTTTTTTTTTTTTTTAAGCATGACAGTGTTTCGAAACGTTGTTATATAATTCCAAGAAATGTAACGCATATGTTAATTCCTAGTATATTATATAAAATGCACATGAATTTTCAGCGTGAAATATCTCGAATACATATGTCTGCATAATGGATTATTTTTAAATGCAGGACTATTTAAAAAAAAAAACTGTTTATATAATCAAAATGGCAATTAAAACAGAATCCATGTTACTAAAATATTCTATTTTTTAAATAATATTTTTAAGAAATACCATAATTTTTTAAATAATAAATTAAATAATAAATTTAAATAATAATATTGTATAATTATATTTAAAGATTACGAATATTCCTCTCTATACATTTATGTATATATTAGTTTCTATAAATGCAATATGTTCATGTGCATGTATTACATTCATTTGGAATTATATGCAAGCAGAAAAATTAATCGAATGAAAAAAAGCTTACAAGATATTCACATGTAACATTAAATCATTTTGTTAAAAAGATTCCATTACATCTTCCTTCTCTCTTTTCTTCTCCTTGCCACTTTTTAGATCAAGTAGTTTTGCGCGAAACGTCACGTTTCTCAGTAGCATGCGTTTTTGAACACCTTTTCTACTCTTTTTTTCCATGTAGTACTATATAAACGATATTTCGTCACGGGACGAGAGACGCGTCAGCATTTCTACCCCAGAATGCGATGAACTCGAGATCAGCGGCGAAGAAGGGAGAGTCAGGGGACTTTATCCTTAATAGACAAACGAAAAGCGGTAAATGCTTCGAGCAAACATCTTGGTAGATACCACGTGTGTTATATATCTCTCCCGAGGCAGCCGTATAAACTTTCGCGCTGGGATCGATGATTGATGCTGGGAGAGTCACGCTTTGACGGCCTGTCGTGTCGGGCAATATCACGGACCTATTCTACTTACTGTTTCGCTAGATACCGATATGTGTGTTTTATAACGTTAACGAGATAAGCTTGCAGAATAATTTAGAAATACAAATTGTATCATTATTATGAACGTAACAATAGTATTATTTATCAACTTGTTTCGATGTTTCCGTGTAGATAATTGACAATTTGGGATTGAAATATAAGCCGCTCTTAAAATAAGAAAAAATTCTACAGATGCAAAAATATATTAAGATGCTAATCCAAAATAGTTTAGAAAAAAAATGTTCGACGCATACAAAAACTATAAATTAATAATTTACTTCTTTTTTCTAAATTCTGATTTTTTTTTTGTTTTAATCAGTTTTTATTGATATACAATATTCTGACTTTAATTACTTTATTATAAATCGTCGAGTATAACTATTAATTCTGCATTAAACGTCTTTGATTTTATATAATAGGAGACATGCATATAATTTGTTTGCTCCTGCGAATTAATATTAAAAAATATTTTCAAATAATAGTGCTGATATATAAAAAGCATTATGATAAGCATTATAAAATGTTCATATTGTTGAATAATGAATATTGCTTTTCGGACTAATAAAACGGAAAAATTCCAAGGAACATTATATAATTATATCTTTTTAATTAACTAATAAAGGCTCTTATGATTTTATTTTTTTAGGCATTAGTTATTAAAATTCTCCGATCTCGAGACTCGCTTAGTTACTTAAGCAGATAGTTAAAAAAATTAAGTTTTAATCAGTCTTATAGGAATTGGTACGTGGATTTAGAACTTGAAAATTAACTATTAATTTTGGCAAGAATAAAATATTATACTAAATTTAATTTGCTCCATACACATTAAATTGAAAATAATTTTAAATATTTATAAATCTATATTGCGCATAGTCACAAAAACTATTTAGTAAGTTCAGACTATATTTTCAGCTAATACATGAATTATCTAGGCAAAGCACCAATGTCCGGCACCATCATTTAATGACGTTTCCCTCAACTAGAGACGCATATGCATCTAATGAAAGCTATCGACAGTCTATAATCGTCGCTTAATGGGCCCATTGTCGCCTGCACATTAACAATCTTGAGCAAATTGAGCTCGTTAGTGCAATGCAACTGCTGGACACTATGCGTGTTTGCCACCACAAAGCTCGCGCGCATATACACTGGCGTCCAGTCTTGATTTCAGATCACGTACCGCGGACCAAGTGGAACGACAATGATACGGGTTTATCAGCAATGTGACTATACGTGTCGTTTTTTTCGGATTCTATATACTAAAGATATATATCATAATAGGGAATTAGATTTCCGGCTATTGATACCGTGATATTAAACTCGAGATTACAAAGTATTGTCCAATGTGTCTCGCAACATGATTTTATATAATAGGAGACATGCATATAATTTGTTTGCTCCTGCGAATTAATATTAAAAAATATTTTCAAATAATAGTGCTGATATATAAAAAGCATTATGATAAGCATTATAAAATGTTCATATTGTTGAATAATGAATATTGCTTTTCGGACTAATAAAACGGAAAAATTCCAAGGAAATTATTAATAAAGGAAATTGAGAATATCCCTCGATTAAATGAAAAATGATGGATGTTATGCTATGGGAATGTCGATGAACCAAAGCGACGCGAGCTTGTATTCCTGTCGACTTCTCTTAACTCGCCATCGACCAATAATGCTTGTCGCCCGTCCATGCACCATCCATCGGTAGACAGATCCGATAGGGAGATGACGGCCGGGATCTAATGCGAAATCCATATCACATTAATATTACTCTGTGAAAAAAGTCGCAAAAAATTTGTAAAGGTTTGCCCCATTGCCGATGATAAAGTCGAACCAGTTCAACGTCTGTCGATCGGAGATTGCTGCCAAGCAGTTTTAACATTTCTGCACGTTCGCGAAGAAAACTGGATTGTTACGAGAAAAATTTGCCGTTAAAGTATTCTGTCTGTTAGCACGTTATATAGGATCGACTTTCGCATTGAATTCCATGTTAAATTAACGAATGGCATTCAAGCACACTTTTTGTCAGGAAAAATAAAACATTATACGCTTTTTGAAATTATACGCTTTTTTATGTATTTATCTTTTGCATTTAATTGTCTTTTAGCTGACGTAAAAAAATTATTACGCGAGAAATTTAAACAGTGTAATATAATCTCATGAAATATTAAATATTATTAAGTTATCTTAAGAATCTTGGTGCAGTAGTCATGTTATTTATAACTGTCATAAATATATTAAAATTTGTATATATATATGTATATATATAAAATTTTTTATCAAAAATGAAATTAATGATATTAAGTTGACATTAAGAATCCAAAAAAAAAAAACGATAAAACATTATAGGTATATTTTTAAGTGTATATTAAGTTCCTTCTCTGTCAATATATCCATGACCAACACTAAATAACGAAAAATTGAGATGGCAGGGACGTAGAAAAATTCTATATTGCCGTAGAGATTCGGCGCGAGATCAATGCAGCACGTGCCAGGATTGTCGATCAAACGCGCAATGTAGAGACGAATAGTTTCGAACTCTCAAAGCAGCTGGATTCTGTGAGAAGCATTGCGGATTACGCTATTCCTCGTGTCATCGCTTTCGAGCATATCAGGTGGATCATCGGTATAGGTACGTAGAATTTTTCAAGATTACATTGAATATTTTCCCGTTATTCACCGCGTTCGCTCTGGTATTTGAAAAACGATCGCGGAGATCGTGGGAAGCATCTGCATGTGAGGAAAGGATTTAAGAAGATAACTCTGTTATGTAAAAGTCAGACACATTCTTATATACATTTCTCTGTATTTCTTTTCTTCAAATTAAAATAATACTTTTAAGAATCTTTGAAAAAAGATCTAATAATTTTCTTGTTTTTCTAATAACAAAAATAAAATGTATACATATAAAAATACATAAATAAATACATACATTATTGTTCGTTAAAATAGAATTTTAAGTAAGATTTGACACAATACTTATTCGCGCGGATTATTTATGTAATACAATAATTTAAGTATAAAATAAAAGTAGACTTTTTTATGCACGATAAATCAAATATATATATTTTAAATTTATTATACAGAGAAATGGCAGAAAATAATAATACATACTCTCTTATATAAACTGTATAGTGACAATATCATTGATTATAGTAGTAACAAGATTTTAGCGAGTATTTCACTGATCTTCAGTGAAAGTGCTCATACTTTGCTCCTTTGTTTTATGATTCACTTTTAATAATAGTAATAAAATTTGATCGAAAAATTAGCTCTACTACCACCAACTGATTCTTCTTATAATTAGTGAGATTGCAGTATTTGCTGTGTGCTATACTTATAATTAAAATTATTAATAAATTAACAATATATATTAGACTTCTTTTACAATCCAGTGCAAATAATTGACGGAAAATAATACATATTCTCTTGCTTATGAAATGTGCAGCTAGTGTTCTATGTATACTGCTGGTCTTTTCGCTACTGATTGGGGCTTTGTGTTGTCGCTGGAGATCATCCAAAAATAAAGTACGCCCAACCCTTTTATGGTAAGTATTATATAATGTTATTGCATTCTATTTTTTTTTTATTTTTGTAAAATGTTACATTAAATAAGAGTTTATGCTAAATTTGTAATAACTTTGTTATATGTATATAGTGTGTAGTGTACAATTCAGAGATTAATTATCTGTTTAATTTGATTCATTCTAACAAGTTTACATATTAGATATGTATGTTAAATATTACAAAGTATTGTTTAAAAATATATTTATATATCTGCATATATATATATATATATATATAATATCATATACCTCAATCAAAATTTATTGAAATAACGTGCTATAAAAAAAACAAGAAAAAGGAGATACCTACAAATATATATTATGTAATTAAAATAAATACTCCTGATTTTTTTATATAAATATCTTACTACACAAAGGACATTTATATTATAAAATTAACAATGTTAAAAGGTAAATAAATATTTATATTATGGATTAAATCTGATAGCAAACAGCTTAATCGTAGATATTCCTATATAGATTTAATAAGATAGATCGTCAAGCTGAGTGTGTCGATCGAATTTCAGTGGTGTGGTTACGAGTTGTTTTGTCTCGATTACACTTTGGATAGTATTCATCGTCGCTCTGGGCATCGCCAGCAATACGGAAATGTTGATATGTCGGCCACTCCATGATCCTAACTATCGTATTATAGAAGCTATGCTGGAAACCCGAGCGTTTTTAGGAAGAAGGCTTGCAGTACCCCTCAAGGAGCTCTTTGAGTAAGCTATATTGCTTTAATCAAACCAATCAAGCTTTATATTATATCTCATCTCAAAAGAAGTAGGTTAAACTGAAAATTGTAGAATAAACTGTATAGTGACAATATCATTGATTATAGTAGTAACAAGATTTTAGCGAGTATTTCACTGATCTTTAGTGAAAGTGCTCATACTTTGCTCCTTTGTTTTATGATTCACTTTTAATAATAGTAATAAAATTTGATCGAAAAATTAGCTCTACTACCACCAACTGATTCTTCTTATAATTAGTGAGATTGCAGTATTTGCTGTGTGCTATACTTATAATTAAAATTATTAATAAATTAACAATATATATTAGACTTCTTTTACAATCCAGTGCAAATAATTGACGGAAAATAATACATATTCTCTTGCTTATGAAATGTGCAGCTAGTGTTCTATGTATACTGCTGGTCTTTTCGCTACTGATTGGGGCTTTGTGTTGTCGCTGGAGATCATCCAAAAATAAAGTACGCCCAACCCTTTTATGGTAAGTATTATATAATGTTATTGCATTCTATTTTTTTTTTATTTTTGTAAAATGTTACATTAAATAAGAGTTTATGCTAAATTTGTAATAACTTTGTTATATGTATATAGTGTGTAGTGTACAATTCAGAGATTAATTATCTGTTTAATTTGATTCATTCTAACAAGTTTACATATTAGATATGTATGTTAAATATTACAAAGTATTGTTTAAAAATATATTTATATATCTGCATATATATATATATATATATATAATATCATATACCTCAATCAAAATTTATTGAAATAACGTGCTATAAAAAAAACAAGAAAAAGGAGATACCTACAAATATATATTATGTAATTAAAATAAATACTCCTGATTTTTTTATATAAATATCTTACTACACAAAGGACATTTATATTATAAAATTAACAATGTTAAAAGGTAAATAAATATTTATATTATGGATTAAATCTGATAGCAAACAGCTTAATCGTAGATATTCCTATATAGATTTAATAAGATAGATCGTCAAGCTGAGTGTGTCGATCGAATTTCAGTGGTGTGGTTACGAGTTGTTTTGTCTCGATTACACTTTGGATAGTATTCATCGTCGCTCTGGGCATCGCCAGCAATACGGAAATGTTGATATGTCGGCCACTCCATGATCCTAACTATCGTATTATAGAAGCTATGCTGGAAACCCGAGCGTTTTTAGGAAGAAGGCTTGCAGTACCCCTCAAGGAGCTCTTTGAGTAAGCTATATTGCTTTAATCAAACCAATCAAGCTTTATATTATATCTCATCTCAAAAGAAGTAGGTTAAACTGAAAATTGTAGAAAGACCATGCATATTAATACTGTTACAAGTTATACATATATTAAAAGAAAAGATATAAATTAATACCGTTAAATTTAGTCACATTTTAGTCGGAATGAAAAATAAAATTAACTTTTCATATTTTTATTATCAAAGATAAAATATTACATATTTTAATAACAAAAATACGTCATTCTTACGTTTAATATAAATGTAGCTCTATATTGTTTGATTGTAGACACTGTCAACGTATAAATCATATTTTTATTTATATTTTTTTTTATTAGGTATCCCTCAGGCTGTGAGGGACAAACGCAACGAGCAGAGCATTGCACAATGTGTGTTACAATTTTCAGCAGTATATTCATTTGCAGAAAATGTCGAAACAACGAGGCAGCTTATCCCGCCTTCGGGCTGGAAAATATGATGAAACTAGAACATTTGACTGCGCATTGGACATGGCTAGGCTTGTCTAGAGCAATATCGAATGTCAAAATCGATTTGAAAGGTCTCCAAATACTAACACCAAATCTGCATCAAAGCCTTCAGGATTTCTTGTATGCTTATGGCTTGAACCTCACAGCGCACAGAATAATGGTACTTACGTTTATTTAAGAGCACTTCATATTACTCATATTTTTCAAATTTTTCATTTTCATATTTTTTTTTCCAAGTAAAAGCAAAATACATAGTTTTTATGTAAGAATAAAAACGGAAATTTTCTAGACTTTACTAAGTTGATTAAAGCTTGCAATTATTCATCATAGCTTTGAAAAATTTTCTTGAAGGAAAAGTTCACTAGCATATTAAAAGAAAGTAACAAATTACATAGCTGTATAACTACATAATACTAGACGGCTAATATTATATGATGAACGATACGCATTTCATAGCGAGTTGTTCTCGTGATTATGCTTCAATGCCGCTGCTAATTAAAATCTATTTAGCTGCGTGTATAGCTACGTTAATTTATCAAGTACACAATGCATACATGAGCATATATCTATTTTAATGTCTTCATTTTGCATGTATATATACGTCATTCAAATATAATTAATAAATGCTATCTCATAGTTTACAATAATACATATTAATTAACGAAATTTAAAGCTAGATTAAACTATCAATAAATATTAATTCCAAATATCTCTATTAATATTTTCTATTGATTTGCAGATTCAAGGGCCAATTCTGAATAAAGATTTGACTACAATCTCGGATCAATTAGACAATATATCCCGTCAGCTGCAGGATCGAAGTATTGCCAGGGAACTGCAAAGCATTGGGATAACAATGCGCGATCTGATATTAAGACGAGTAAAGCCGCTAATGAAATTCCAAGACGATTTGGTATATCGCCTTGCAATTTTGGAATTAAAAGTGCAACCTCTTTGGCGTCAAGTCAATCAATCGATTTCCCATCTGAAAACTATACAATATTACATAGATCATCAGGGAGAGAAGATAGCTCAATTGGTGGGCAACATGCTAAAAAAATACTTGTAAATTATGAAAAATGCAAAGTTACAGCTATTTCCTATCCGTAAGATAAAAAATGTCGTATTAAATTATTAAAATTCATCGTTTACACTTGCAGAAAACAAAGTCGTACGTAGACCGAATGGCGAATTATCTAGATCAATGGCGGATGTACGTTCTTTCGGAAATGGGCACGGGAGTATCTAAATGTCGACCTTTGTGGGACATTTTAGAAGGAACTAAACACTTATTGTGTGGTCACATCTTAAGTCCTTTCGTATGTATAATCGAAAATAAAACCATTAATTATTCTAATATCTAACAATAAATGATAATTAATTAATAAAACATTAATTTATAATAAAACATTGAGCGCATGTTTAACAAAGCTTTTTATATGATTAATATTTAGAACGGTTTCTGGTTCGCTATATTTGTATGTGCAATTGTCATGATTGGCAGCACACCAACAGCTCATATTTTATCACTATTATACAAGAAACAATATCATTTCACGGACGTTGTTAGCCTGCCAACAAGATCGTTAGTATATCTCATTATGAATTATTTGAGATCCAATTTCAAAGGACTTAAATTATAAAAATAAAAATATACTTTTTTGTTAGGGTAAGTCTTGATACGAATGACGATAGAATATGGCAAACGCCAGAGTAAGTATATTTAGATATATATAATATATATTTTAATATTTTATATTTAAATCACGTATTGTAATATATAATATCAAAAGCGTGTATAAAGCGTGTATAAATTATTGATATTGAATCCTATTTATAACTGAAATTATATTTTACAGTCCACCGCCGCTGCCGCAAAGCGATTGGTAACAATGATGGAAAACGAGACTTCTTGTTGCAAGCAGATTCAGAAAAATATTAATATGGCATCAGAGTTGGCAAGAATATAACAAAGAGTATGGCAAGAAAATTGAAGAAGCTTAAAGTATAGATCGTACAAGTAAATCTTGTTTGTGTTTGATTTATCGTAAGCAGATTTCTTTACATTAAAAGAATCGACTGCCGTTTATTTTGATGAAATATATTCAATCTTAGAATTGTGTGTCATCTGTGTGAAACATTATTCATATGTCTGTTTGTTAAAAAAAATATATTTTCTGAGTATTCAGAATATGTTTTTCTTACCATATTATATTCCTGCCCAATATATATGTATATGTATATGTAATTACATAAAAAATTATCTCACGAAATACAAGCGTATAAATATCTCATGATATGGATACAAATGAAGTCGCGCTTGCTTCGCCTATGGAATTATTAGCAATGCAATGATATATTCCAATATGTTCTTTGTTTAGCCGACTTAATTGCATCCAAGATGTTCGCATAAGCGGCTCTGGACCATCGGTCGTATGTACCGTTGCCTCATGTTCCTTTCCTGTATGAATAAAACGGTTGTTTATCGAATTTTACGATGTATTAGATTTGTATAGTTTGCAAAGAGCACATAAATATTAAGAAAAGAGCGCATAAATATTAAGAAAAACTGTTAAGCAGTATAAAAGTGTCAAATCAGTTTTTTTATATAACATCATTTCTCTATAGTCATATTGTTTTCTTATATTCTTTGTTCCAAAACGATCGTATATTTATTATTGAGATTTGCTAGAGAGCGCAAGAATTCGCAAAATATTTTATCTCGATACTTGATGTATCGTGTCAATTTACCCGGCAGTTTCAGTATTCTTCTCCCGTCAGCTGAGTGAAATTCCCAAAAGATATCCGGCACTGGAAATCCCTTTGCCTCGCAATTTAATGCGACACGTTGACCGAAGGGAGAGGCAACGTCCTCCAGAGTTGACAGAATCCAAGGTCTACTCTCACAAGGACCGAGATGTTGCAACCTCAAGGAAGATGAGTTTCTGAGTTTCATCGCCTCCTCGTGCAGCGCGCATGGTGTCGCGTAAGTTTCGTTATTGCTACCACACGCCGGGCTTTGTTCCATACAGACGCAGATTGCCTCTGGAGCATCCTGAATAAAAAGTTCAATTCTATTTATTAATTAAATTACACAACCTTTCTCTCTCTGTACTCTAAATTAATCTTATCGCTTTTTCCATATTTTGATACTATTATTTTACTTTATAGACGCAGTGATTGTCAACGAAAATATCCCGAGACAAAATAATTCTCTCATTTACTACTTTGGAGAAGTTAAATCGCTTAAAGTTTGTAATGTGGTACTTTGTGCGCCAGCACGTCTTCGCTGTATCCTGAGCGACTTTGCGGAACTGACACAAACATAACGCTTCACGCTAATAATCATCGTATTAGTGTTGTTAGTTTGTTCAATTATGAATAATTAATGTGACCGATTTAAATAATTTAATATAGAAAATTAGTTTGATTGAAACTTTGGAACTTTGAAAAGTGATTCGGCTATTTAAATATGATTATATCTTATATATATATAAGATCATATAGCAAAGTATTATTCTTATTCATCCCGCATCTCTATATCATAAACGGCTTGCCTGATTGTTTGATTGCATGACGTGTATGCGCATATATTCTCACAATGCGATTACGACCCACAGTGCACGACAAGATGAAATTAGATGCGAAAAGGCCAGCAGAGCGGGTCAGCGACCGTAAGTCACTGATTGCGATCTTAAAATTGCGATAGATCTGATTGATAGCATAACTCAGTAGGTGGATAATGTATGAGTCTACTTTAAATATCGCACTGACGTAATTTTACGCAATGACGCGTGATTCCTGTTTTTGTGTTAAACTAGCTCAGAAAGCGAGATATCTTATTGCTAAGCTCATTGAAACTGAGAAATCTAGAACGTGATCTCTTGAACTGAATTGGAAAAGTGAATTTATCACTTATGAAGGTGATAAATATCGCACGTAAGAATAACGCGCGATTCACATATTCGCGCTTTAAAGGAAATCGTCTGTTGTGGATTATATCGAAAATGTATAAATTGCATATATGTAGAATATGAGAGATTTAAAAAAAATATATATAGTAAATAATAATTTTAATGTAATATGAAAAAATTAGAGATATTTCAAAAATCTATAACGCCAATAAAATCTTCTAACGTTAATCAAAACAATTTTTTAATATGTTAGATTTCGATTCTCAATCGTTAAATATTGAATATTTTATGCATGAAGGTCTCTTTCTTATGGAAACGAACTACATATGTACCTCTTCTTGTAAGTCAGATCGCAACTCGCACAGATAATTTCTTGCGCAGTATCCATCGTTACGGTTCTTTGGAGACAGAAGAGGGATGCTCGAATTCCAGCATGGTTCGCCAAGGAAACGGGCGCACAAACCATCCGGACAGCATCCGCAAGGGTCAGGTACCGATCCCAACAAGCATTTTCCAGAATTTTCTGGACACCTATTTAAGGCAAAATACATAAGGCTCCGTACATAAAATATTCTTAATATTCAACTTTCTATATATAAACTATAATGCGATATAATATTCGATTGTAATTATATAATTGTAACTATGTAAACACTTGCATCTATACCTGTAATATCCGCACTCGATGCAACCCAGTGGTTGCTCTTTCTCAGTGGCGCTCTTATTTTCAATAGTTTCAGTGGAAGTGACTTGTTGAAGTGTCACGCAGAACACCAACGCTGACAAAAACGCGAACGGAAACGCTCTCCGGCGCGTCATTTCGCTTACTGACAGAAAGCACGAATGTCATTCGCCATGTCACTCTCGATATGAAGAGGGAGATTGGGGCGTATGCACATCGCGTATATTACAAAAATCCTCTCAAGAGAGATAACCATCATACATGCTTTTGTGATAATTATTGTAACATCACTTATATTTCTTAACTTTATAAAAATTGATTGTAAACACTATATAATAACGTAAAATGATATATTTATTACATATTTCCAAGATATTAATATTTCTTATATGTACTTGTTAGTGAAATCTTTATTTTTCGTAAACATTTTACAAATATTGTATCTGAAATACATAATTTACAGACTATGCGTTTATCAAGTTGATATTATCTGCAAATTTGTGTATTTTAGTAACTTTAAACAATGTTTATTTTACTTTATTTTATTATAGTTATAAGCTTTTTAAATATTTCCAGCAGATTCTCTTGCGTAATAAGTAACGATGATAAAAGGCTGAACCGGAGGACCAGGTAACGGCTATAAGGATCAGTAGAGCGAAGGACATTAATGCCAATGGACTCGGCACGAGAATTGAGTAGCCGATGCCACCGAGATTAGAAAACACGTTGCAGCATGCACTCTCCTTCTTCCTTTCCTGTGTTTGGGCGTATGCACTTGATGTTCCCTCCGATGTACAGCTGACACCTACTGGACGCACCACACCACGTGTCACATTGGTCCTTTAGTCACACACAACACAAGGATGCAAATAAAGTCAATCAGTCTCTAATACAATAATTAAACTAATTAAATAAATTGAATATTCTCAGTTTGAATATTTCTAAACCATCAAATTTTTTTTTTTAAACGTGTACAGAAATTTATTTTCTTTCTGTGCATCAGAGCTAATTCTTTTCTCATCGTGTAGAGATTTTACATACAAATATTCTCCTATTTATATTTTTGATTACTATAAAAAGTAACAGAAGAAGGTGATTTTGATTTACAAAGTAACAAGCTAACAGCATTTCTGATCTAACCGAAGCAGATATTAAGCAATCGTATAATACGCCATTCTTTAACTTTCCATTACGTAATTTTTTCGAAATAAATTGCTAGAATCTATTGTGTTTTCTTTCAAGGATTTACCCCTACGTCGTCTGTCGATTCCGTATGTTGGTCTTGTCGAAGTACTTACTGAAACCACCAACGACCCGACATGTGCCCGCGGAACATCGCGAAAAGCAACGACTCGCCGAGACAAATAATTTATTAGAGGTCGATAAATTCTGCCTTTTTATCCGAGTAGGTGATTTCATGTGATTCGAGAATCTCGCGAGCACAGAATTTCCAGAGACGTTTTTACCAACGGACAAATGTTCCCCACGGAATGTGTAACAATCGGATCTTGCACTGTTATCGGACGGGACGAAGTAGATGGGCAGAGTATGCTACGAATTCTTTGAAGCTTTTTCAGTCGTATATCCTTCAAGGATTTTTGTTGCATTTTCGAGAGCGGAATTATCTTTTTCTTCCGGCATTTCGAGCAAATCCGGATCGACAGACTTCGAAGGCTTTGTGATTTCCGACGAATTAATAAGCACTTTTGACTAGTTAAATTCTTTAATTCAGATCTTTCGTCCAGTATTAGATCGCAACTTTCCTCGATAAGCTCAAATCCATTTTCGGATTCTGCCGCGCAGCAACAATCGCACGAATCGTCGCAGTCTTTTATATCATATTTTTCCCGTTCCTCGTCATTTCCCTCGTTATAAATGCTATTTTCCGAGTTTCTATCACCAGCTATGCAACAATGCAAAAACTGACCTGTTCCTGTACAGGGCGAAAATGGTCGACTACTCCGCTCGGTGCAGAAGGTTAATTTTTTACGAGGCGGCGGAGGATGAGAAGATGAAGCGGTTGAAGCCGGTCGACAAGGTGGGTATGACGTAGGTAAGCGAGGGCAACAAGAATTCTTCGGTGGAATTGGTCCCCGACACTTGGTAGAAGAGCATGGATGGCAGACTGGTGGTAGACACAATTGACATCGCGCGCAATGACATTTGGGAACTGGTGGTAATCGAGGGAAGGGACAGCAGAGACGTGCGTTGGGACACTTGACCGTCGTTTTTGGGAACCTTCGCTCGCTGGGTGGGCACGCACATTCCGGGCTGGAAGGGCATTCACAAGAACACTCGCGATTAGCGCGCGCGTCCACCTGGACTGGCAGCGGGCAATTGCAGTCGCGTGACATCGGTTGACACAAGCAATAACTGGTGTTACACTGGCAACAGTTGCGCTTTTTCCAAGTAGATTTCAGAGCGATAGGCGAGCTGCAGGAATGACAGTCGGGTGCCTGTCGTGACGAAACTTGAGAATATCTGCATTGCAAAGGGCAGCAAGACGAAGCGGTCGACGAGCAATCTGCGTTAGAAGAGCAGCAGGTCGATGGATAAGTACAGCTCGGGCAACCACCGCCCGCTTCCCGTGTTAAGGGTCGTTCAGGCGACGACGATTTATTTATCGATGCCATTTCCGATTTGCTTGCTCCACCCGCTAAACGACGATTCCCGTAGCATTTCTGTCAAAAGTAGAAAAATCTGACGACAGTTACAAAGTATAGGACACAATTTATTCTTCAAATCATTTTAGCTGAGATTTCTTTATTGATTAAAATATTATCCGTTTATAGAAATCATAATGTGATGTAATAGTATTCTTTAAATCGTATTGCGAAAAAAATGTAGAAGACCCGTGCATAAAAATTAAAATAGTTAAGCTTTTTAATCGCATTTTAGAGATTTAAACATTTCAATTACTAAGCCATTAAAGTTTGTATATAAATTAGTTTAGTCAACTTTACGGATTTTACCGAATAATTAAGAAACTTTGAACTCTCTAGCTTACTTCCAACTATACGATGCTAATTTACATAAATTGAGTGCACAAACTAATCGTGCCTGAATTAAAGCGTTGCAATCTTCCTATCAAATTTAATTAAAACGTGTAGAAAACGTCAAAAACATTAATTGCATCTTTGTGTATTATATTCATTCTATAATTCTCTTAATCATATTGCTTCATTAGTTCGTTGTACATATCTTAATACATTTAAATTCATATAGACATTTACATATATATTTTAATGTAATTTTGTTCAGATACACATATTTGTTTCCTCTCATTTTTCATATAAATATTTTTCAATATAAAAAAGTTCATAAAAGGTAATAACATTAAGAAATGTTAGGATTGATATTTAAAAAGAGTTAAAACATTTTCAAAAATAGATCGAATAAAGTATTTTCAAATTGAATTGCACAGGATTAAAAAATCCGTTGTTCTCTTCGCGCTGGAATTTAATTTCATCTCTTTCTTCAAAAAGTAAATATATATAAATTTACTACCTCAGAGGAATCTCAAGCGCTTTCTATTCTTGGCAAGGAATCTGCTTCAGTGTACCTGACAGACTGACGCAGTTAAAATGGTACCGGAACACGGCGGTGCTGGTGAAAGACACAGTCGGTCCGGAGCGACAGTTCTGCTGCGAACAAAACGCAATTCGGGGCGAAAAATAAGGAAGTTCAATAGTTCTTTCAATATTTTACGAAAAAAATATTCGCTTGTCATTCAAATGTTTTCACGCAAAGATTTTTTTAAATTATAAAAACAGCGTTACTACAAATAGAATGGTTTTTACAGAAATAGAATCAGGCACCAATTCTAATTTCCTTTAAGTTACCAATTAATTTCCCTAAAATATTACAAATAACATTTTTTTTTAAATATACAAATAATAACACAAAACAGCTAAGAATACTGAATTTTATCATTTTAAGACAGAATATCGATTCCTTGAAACGAAAGCAACCAATGTTGCTGTTATTTTGAAATAAAAAAAGCAAATATTTTATATATGTATATTAGATCATTTATATTATATATCATTTACACTTTTCACTATCGCATCGTACACAAGAAGCGACATTGAATTTTTTCCTCTCACACCGCTGACATTATTTAACTGTCGTTATTTAACCTTACCACGAGCGACTGCAGTTGCAGCATTTGCACGCCTGTTGGCGACCGTAATCGCTCCATTGACGACGCAGCTCGGAGAAGTTACTCAACCATCGGCAATTCGGTTTAGGCGGCGCGTTACTGTTCCAGATTTCCTCTTCAACGCATTGACAGGGTCCAGGACACGCGCCCATCGCAGCTGTCCCGACAGGTCGCAAACCACCGCAATCACTGCGATCCAGGCATCCTACGTTACTTTGACAATTACACGAAGGTGTGCGCGCCTCGGAACAACTGTCTCTGCCTGATGCACGACTGTTTGCTGCGCGACAATATTGCAGACTAAGATAATTATATTATCGAGATTAGAAGATTTCGGAAAAAAGAAATTTGAATTGCACTCTTTTAAACTTTATCTTAAGTACTTACAGTACTTTGTGATTACGAAAACAAATATATTTATTTGCTTATAAGATAAAACTTTAAAGAATATTTTAAACGTGCACAAATGATGCACAATATATTTATATATTATAAATTAATTTTTTTCGCAATAATAACTGTCTTGTATAAAAAATGAAAATTGTAATTTTCTATATATATATATATAATATATATTACCGAGTTCTTATAATTTTAGATATTTGATTTATATACTAACCACAGTAATCGGTGCTACAATATCTTCTTCTGCTTTCAAGTTTATCACAGAAGGACATATTGATTTTTACTCTAAATGAGATCTAATTTTCCGAATGTAAGAACTTCGCATAAGGGTGCCATTTACGGTCCGGAATAGATAATAAAATCGGCAGAAGCATTTGCATGGCTTTGATTTACATTTTCAAATAATTTGTTTAGCTATTTTGGTTTATTGACTGATCGGTAAGATGTGATTGAAGGTGTGAAGATTAACGAAAATTGTTTTGCTAGAGATATATGAATATATCTGTTTATCAAAGTACCCAAATATTTGAGTTGCCATAGAAGCAAGACGCAATATTTTCTACTTTATAGTATTAAATATGTAGAGACAAAATATTATAAATTATTCGCTACACGCGCGCTATTTATTTCTTTATGCTATATATTATTTAATAAACTGCAATTAAAAAAATTCAAATATTTAAAAAAAGAAATGCCTTCTTGGAACATAAAAATTTGGCGTAAAATAATAATAGTGAATTAAGTAACACAAATAGTTTTTTGATTAAATTAAAATAAATTATATTTTTAAATAAACATTAGACTTTATATACAATGTTGACTTAATTATGGAAATTAATTTAAAATGCAAGAAAACAGAAAATATTTAGCTTAAATTTATATTAAAAAATGTATATTATAGTTATATGAATTATGCGTACGCGTATTAATTTGGCCCGTTTAGGATTAAAATTTGCGAAATAAGATAATTTATTTTGTTTTCAATTAAACATATTTACGAAGTTCGTATTGCATTAAATATTCATTAAACGGAACTTATAATGAAAATCATTAATTATATTCTGTTATAAATAATATTTGTTAAATGTCATTACAAATTCCGCATTGTTTCCATATTCTTGAGTGTGAAAATTGTTGCCTCAAAGGGTCAAAAGGTCCTTCTCGCCGTCTTTATGCCAGATAAACGCGAGTAAATACGTAGTTTGTACCACCGCAGAATTGAAAGGTTCTTCATCACAGAAAGTTATCTTTTGTCGGTTCTTATCTTTATCATTCGATGTCGCGTTGAAAATCTGCAACGGAGAATTTCCGTTGCAGAATTAAATTCAAGTTCTTTTAGTGGTTTCTAAAAATAATGATTTTGACAATAATTTAATGATTACTACCATACGTTCTTTAAAGTCAAATCACGAAATTAATTTAATAGTATATATTAAAGATTTTTTTTGTCATTAAATATCTTTCTATTATTTTTATCAGTATTAATAACAACGATAAAGCGTATATCATGTATCTCATTATCCGTAAATATACTTTTGTAATCACACTTATATAAAAATTGTTATATCCATTTGTGTATGTGTTTGTCAATAAAGAAAAATATTTTACCAACAACGGAAAAATATGTTTTCTTGTACAAATTCTTGTTTTGTGCATTGAGAAAATGATAAATATCAATTAAATTATCGCAAAAATATTCGAGAATTGCATAATTACATATTTGCAATTTATTATGCAAACATTTTGAAAAAATTGACTATATTATTGATTCACTGCTTGAAATTATTGGTATCGGGAAAAGTTTAAAAGATCCAGGATTTGTTCCCTTTTGCAGGTTGTCTCTTTGCTTCTAATAAAAAGAAAGAAAAAGAAAAAATATTTAATGTTTATGTCTAGCTTGTATAAATATCATTATTTCCTTTGTTGCGTTTTTACGTTTAGCTTCCTTACGAGCAGTCTATATATTTTATGTCTATGATTTAGTTACATATTAGCTGAGAATTTATTTCTTGGAGTTGGTAGCCATGAAGCCGGAGCCTTTATATTTTCACCATATAGGTACGGAGTGTTTAAAATCGATTCGGAGCATCAGTGCAAGACTCTAACCAGCAAACCAGCTCATCAAAACCTAACCTAAACTTGAACCTAACATTAAGTTGAGATTTGTTATGAGTTGATTTTATTAATAACTTAGTTTACGCGACCAGTATGAAAGTACCGCTATCAAACTTGGTAGACTATTTTATGAAACATGGGAGATAAAGGTATTTAATTGTTTCTTTCTCACAATAAAAAATATTATCTTATTCCATTTTCAATCTTTTGGAGCAATATATAAACATGTATTTATATGCATTATGTATTAATTAAAAGCACATTTATATAATTTTTTTCTTTAAAACATACTGTACTTTGTGTAGTGCATATATATAAAGACTATGTTATATAGCAAGAAATATTAGTTTTTTTTTTGTTTATTTATTATTATTGAATATAGATGTAAGAGATTTACCATAACTAAAAAAATGTATATATTATTATAAAATTAATAGTTCTTATATATAATTAAATTAATGATTCTTAACGGGCACAACAAGCTTCAATAATAAAATTTTAAAGAATACTAATTTTTTAATAAAATCTGAAAATTATCTTATTCTTTAAAATAAGAATATATCATCTTTTATTTCATAATAATGTAGAAGATATTAAAACAAATCTCTCTGATGATTATTAATAATCTTATTCTTTTTCATATTAAAAAGTTATTAATTTTCTATTTATATTTTTTTCTTGTGTCAATCTGTGTTGAAAGTGACCCAAAGCATTTTTTTTGGTCAATTTGAAGTATATTTTTTATTCATGAAAATATTGAAGTAAATTATGATTTTTCACAATTTTTTATAATTTTTAATTATACATTTTTCACATACATATACACACAAATCAAATCTTAAATCTAATTTTTCTGTAAAGGTAAAGTCTATTTGGAAATCAATTAAAAAATAATTTTATTGAATAGCTTTATTTATTTTTCATATTAAAGTTTAGTTTGTGTAAAAGTGTTTATTTCTAATCTCTAATTACTTAAAAGTTCTAGTGTTTATATTTACATATATGTGTATTTAGTCTATAAAATTCCTCTTTTTCTAGTAATTAATTAGCTCGTATGCTTTCAGAGCATCATGTGCACTTTAGCGGCGGAAGTGGACTTGGAAAAGATAATAATATTATGATACAGCCACAGAGACATGGCCACATTGATGCTCACTTAGGATTCTTGCAATTGCATCATAGGTTATTCATTGTATACAATTTATAAATTATAGTTGATACTTTTTTTCAGTCTAACAGTCTTATTATCTCGAATGCTAAGACTGGAGATTTTAAGTAAATTTTTCATGATTTTGCACAGTTTTTTATTAACATTTTTGTCAATATATACAAAAATATGTAAAAAAAGGACAATAGTGAATATATATATGTGAATATACATGATATATTGAACACGAATATGTATGAATGTACATTTATTCCAGATATCACATAGAATTCTCAGTGCCATGGAACACATGTATTCATCCAGGAAAAAAATTGATAGCTCCGGCAATAATTGCAGAAAATCACAATGCAAACTGTCACATTATCGATCTCGCACAAGAAAAAGACGGTTTAAGGTATAAAATTTGTTATATATATTTTTTTCATAAAATAAAATTCCAAAACTATAACGAAACTAATCGCAAAAATGGCTATCTGACAATATATACAATATTTAAGTAATTAAAATAAAGAGTAAATAAGAGCTAGGCGCAGGTTTATGTCGCATATAATTTATTAAATTTAAACACATAAAATGACGATAAATGAACGTTTCGATCCACTTTAGGCTCATCTTCAGTAATACTAGTGGCAAATTATTTTTTGCTGCTAGTATTTCTGAAGATGATCCTAAGATGAATCAAAATATTCATTTATCGTCATTTGGTCAATTTGAAGTATATTTTTTATTCATGAAAATATTGAAGTAAATTATGATTTTTCACAATTTTTTATAATTTTTAATTATACATTTTTCACATACATATACACACAAATCAAATCTTAAATCTAATTTTTCTGTAAAGGTAAAGTCTATTTGGAAATCAATTAAAAAATAATTTTATTGAATAGCTTTATCTATTTTTCATATTAAAGTTTAGTTTGTGTAAAAGTGTGTATTTCTAATCTCTAATTACTTAAAAGTTCTAGTGTTTATATTTACATATATGTGTATTTAGTCTATAAAATTCCTCTTTTTCTAGTAATTAATTAGCTCGTATGCTTTCAGAGCATCATGTGCACTTTAGCGGCGGAAGTGGACTTGGAAAAGATAATAATATTATGATACAGCCACAGAGACATGGCCACATTGATGCTCACTTAGGATTCTTGCAATTGCATCATAGGTTATTCATTGTATACAATTTATAAATTATAGTTGATACTTTTTTTCAGTCTAACAGTCTTATTATCTCGAATGCTAAGACTGGAGATTTTAAGTAAATTTTTCATGATTTTGCACAGTTTTTTATTAACATTTTTGTCAATATATACAAAAATATGTAAAAAAAGGACAATAGTGAATATACAATATATATGTGAATATACATGATATATTGAACACGAATATGTATGAATGTACATTTATTCCAGATATCACATAGAATTCTCAGTGCCATGGAACACATGTATTCATCCAGGAAAAAAATTGATAGCTCCGGCAATAATTGCAGAAAATCACAATGCAAACTGTCACATTATCGATCTCGCACAAGAAAAAGACGGTTTAAGGTATAAAATTTGTTATATATATTTTTTTCATAAAATAAAATTCCAAAACTATAACGAAACTAATCGCAAAAATGGCTATCTGACAATATATACAATATTTAAGTAATTAAAATAAAGAGTAAATAAGAGCTAGGCGCAGATTTATGTCGCATATAATTTATTAAATTTAAACACATAAAATGACGATAAATGAACGTTTCGATCCACTTTAGGCTCATCTTCAGTAATACTAGTGGCAAATTATTTTTTGCTGCTAGTATTTCTGAAGATGATCCTAAGATGAATCAAAATATTCATTTATCGTCATTTTATACGTGTTTAAATTGGATAGATTATTTGCAACATAAATTCGCTCCTGGCTTTTAATTACCCTCTATTGTGATTACTTAAATAATGTATTTTTTCATTCTCAATCACATCTTTTTTTAAATTCATTTTTTTCAAATTGATGTATAAAATGTTAAAATAATTGGTTCTTTCATCAGATTGAAGATAGAGTTGCTGGCATATAAAGAAAAGATATTAAAGGAGGAAGTCGAAATAATGTGTTGTTCGTCGGGTACGCCATTGAAAATTGTATTGAACTCACGTGTTTTGGCAAAGAATAAGGGCACACCATTGTTGAGAAATGGCATACGCAGCATTGCTATAGAAGGAATGGACGAAGACGAAGTTTCTGAGTAAATCTGCTTGCTTTCGAGCTCTCGATGGTAGATATTTAAGCGTTGAGCTTTGCCGAGTTAAGTATTAAAAGTTCAAACAAATAAACAATCAGGCAGAATTAGCATTCCAGAGTGGATAACGCAATAGTGAAAATTGTACAGAAAGACCAATGGAATGTTGCGAAAGATAAAACAATCTGCCTACTTTTGCTATTCTTAAGCATACGTCACGCGCGAGATGCCTGCAAAAGCTATGATACCACTTATCGTCTGCTAATTATATGTATCCACAGGTTATAATAAGCAAATTATATTTTATTATCGTTTTATATCGACTGTCAATTTTCAACGAAATTTGCGCTAAATGAACACGTTTAACAAGGCACTAAATCATTTTGTATTAATGTATTCGTCAAAAAAATTAAGATTAATTATTCGAATAAATCAAAACGATAAAATTCTCCTGTAGCTTATCAATAACGTTTGGCATCCTCGTTAAAGTCTCATCACTTTATTATTTACACATACGGTATCGTATTCGTAATACGATAGTTGATCCAACAGCAAAACCAACATGAATTGTCGGTTCTTATCTAAAAATGTTCTTAATGACAGTAAACCTTAACATCGAAAATTGAACTTTTTCATAGGGATTCCGGTTGGGCCGTCTACAAATTCGCAAATGTTAAAACCTAATTTTGCTAGTGGATGACAGTTACTGCTGGGATTACCCCATTTGCCTTTGAAAGTCATCCAACCTGGTAAAGGCTCGTTGTCCTCTTCTAAGAGCAATTCCAATTTTTTCCACGTCGGCCAGGCAGTCCCGAATCCGCTTTCATCGTACAGACGTGGTACACGAACAAATTTGTGTTTTCCCGGAGCTGTCCAAAGCCCATGAGAGCCACGCGCACTGAATAAAATCGGATGCGAGCCATTGGCGGTATACACTTTTTCAGGAAACGTTGGCTTCTGGAAGAGACCTTTTCTTGTCTCCTGACTTTCGTAGACAAAAGTGCCATTTCGCGGATCGTATCGATAAAATGCACCGGCGTCATGGGCTGATACATACATCGCCAGAGGATACTCGTTATCCTAAAAATGACGCGATATCTGTGTATATATGTAAGTGTATATATACATATATCCACTTATGTATATATACATATGAATCTGCTAAATAATTACAAACAATGTTAAATTTTTTTTTTTTTTGCAGCATCACTCTGATTATTTGTCTTTTTCTCTCTCTTATTATATTAGATATAGTTTTCATAATAATTGTAACGCTTTATGTACATTAATTTGGTTCTAAACACAAATTTAGATAACAATCAAATATCAACACTTAAAATTTTTTATCTGACATCACTATAGTTTGCCACGTGAATTATTTGAGAAGTATGTCAATAAAATTACAGTCGCGAATTGTGGGATATCCTATATATTACACAAATTTTATTTCAGTTATGTGGTAAAAGCAGGAGAGCAGGAAAATTTTCGTTTGCAGAGGAATTTTTGAAGAAAGTAGAGTTTACCTTAAAATAAAGACTCATATGTTCCCAATCTCCGATGTGACTGCCGTATTCTTTGAGCGTGCCTATGCACACGCCACCCATGGTAGGTATCGGCCAGCTGCCGAATAATCCAAGATCTAGTACGCAGATCGTTTTTCCCTCGCTAAATGGATAGAACATCCAATAGGTCACGTGAAAGTGCACTTTTCGACATCCACTCTCTTCTCTGATTTTTTCGAATTGCGCCTCTGTTTTCGTCTAAGATTAATTTTACGCGAAAGAAATAAAGAAAAAAACTTTATATTTATAAAAAACGGTAAAACAAATTTTTTAGAGGTTTTCTTTTTCATAAAGTAAAAGAATCCAATTTAAAATTTGATATTTGATATTTGAAATTTCCGAAAAAGGCAATAAAAAAAAAACATCGTACTTATTTTCATATTTTATACCTGTTGCATTCGTTCTCGCAATTTAATCTGTGTTCTTATATCATTGGCATCATTAGATTGTCGTTGAGACAAAAGTCCAGAATCCTGTAACAGCGTTAAAGTATTCTGTTCGCTCTTTGATGTCTGTTTAGTTTTCTTCATGTGTAACCATGCGTCTCTGGAAACGCAGTTTTTCACAAGAGCATAGACGGGCACAGTTCCAGCGGGTTTTCGGCCATATAAGAAAGACGATTGATTCTTTAATAAAGATTCTATCAAAAAATTCAAAATATTAATAACGATTTTGTAACATTATTTTTTCACAGATATATTTACACTTTATGCCATGTATATTCGAGCAGTTTTTATTTATCTTATATCTTTTTCGTCACATTATCCGTATGTCACAACTAGTTTGAACATTTACCTACGTCTATTCTAGTGCGAAGATAATATTGATCCGACTGTACGTTATCGAGAAATTCAGTTACACCAAGGGGTAAGAATCGTTCTCCTGGTGCGAGCCAAACTAGAGGCGCCCAATCACGTATCAGTCTTCTCACTAAAAGATCAAACAAGAAAATGTTTAATTATTGGATAAATATCTAATATATATTGGATAAATATCTATCAGAAAATTTATGTGTAAATTATTTAGGATTCCACTTTGCAAAATATCTTAAAATGACGATTATTGATAAGGCGTCTTTTATGGATATTTATCAATTATTGCCGAGTACGTTCGAAGTAAACAACAGTTATCAACTGCTTGTACGAGCGAATGTATATACGCACATATATGTGTACACGTATGCCAGAGATCGAGTGCACCTCTAACTCTCGGTTCGACTACATACTCATTTTCACTATATCGCGAGAAACGGGCACGTAGGTCAGCGCGAAATTCTCGTAACCCCATTATACGAGTCTCTACAAGAGCGGT